TTATTATTATGAATTATTTATTCATTTACTTTAAACTCTAGAGTGTCCATATGTCCATATGCGTGAGATGAATGAATATATTTTGGTTAGAGCAAATTTTTTCTTATTGTAAATTCCATTCTCCCACTATTTTTCCCTTGCGGACATTGAGTTAATGAATTACATGACTACAATAACTAATTAATTTACTCACATCGTGGGCATTGTTCAGGTACTGAAGTTATTCCGTACAATTTCCCACTGCCACCAGGAGGAATGGGCAGTGACTTCAACCTCTCGCTTGTGTGTTTCGATATCGCTTCGATTTTGTGTCTGCCGTAAATTCAATTCAAAGTGAAAAGTCACATTTTTTAAAATCATATATAATTATATTTTACAAATTATTCTTACGTCTTCCAGTCTGTCCAGTAATAACTATCAGGGGAAATGGCGAGGCCGAAGGGGTAGGCGAGATCCTTCTCAATCACATTAACTCGTTTGTTGTCGATAGGAGTGCAACCTTGTTAAAAAATGAAAAATAATTGGAATGATGACAGTTTCAAAGCAGAAAATTGAAAACATACTGATTGTGAATGTGCCTGCGTCAGCCCAACACAGTTCGTCGCTGGTCCAGTCTATCGCGAGGGAATTGGGGAGTTTCACCATGTCCCCCTGCAGGAAAACCTCCCTCTGCGTGCCATCCTCATTGGACCATTCGATTTTCGGAGTCATGCGGTTCCAATCCGACCAGAAGATTTTCCCTCTGTATGGGTGCACGGCAATTCCTCGAGGGTTTACCAGACCCTCTGAGATCAGGACCTTTCGTTTTTTCGTTTCTAAACTCGCCACTTCGATCGTGCCTTTCCCCGAATCCGTCCAGAAAAGATTCCGGGACACCCAGTCTATAGAAATTCCCTCGGGACTGCTAACGTTAGATATAAAAGTCTCCACCGACGAGCCGTTGTAGGTCAGGGAAATTATTTTTGCACCTGTCATCAAATGATTTATCATTAAAAATTTTTCATCTTCCAGTTTTTCAAGCATTCTGTAAAAATATGGATACTATTTGTGGAATCAACTCGGGTGATTGTTGACCAGTAAAATCCGTCCATTGATTTTACTGGTCAACAGTATGGAGCAGAATAACATCGACATGTCAATAATTTTTTCAATCAAAATTTCAGTCAAAAATTCCGATCAGAAATATTTACGATTGGAAATTTTTTTTATTTGGCAGCGTTACAGAATATTTAATCCGTATTATTAGTTATATGTTTAACCGTGGAGGATCACAAAATAATCTTTGGAAAGTCATAACTTCCGTGGGAAAAAAGATACAGGGATGAAACAACAACTAGAAAGGTAATCTGAAAGGTAATTTGATAAGCTTCAAAATGGCTCAGCATCTATATTCATAAGCCGGATCAGCCGGCAAAGTGACGGACTGAGAGAGCTGAAAGTGTCACCATTACTGAATCGTATTGCTAACAATTTTTTAAACACGGATGTATCTTCGTTGAGAAAATGAAAAACAATGAAAATCATTCCCGAAAGAAGTGAAGAGTAGAATTAATGAATAAAATTGGATCTCACCAGTGATATCACTAGAGTACGCCTTTCCATTCGGACAATCGATATCAATGGCAATGGCCATCTGCGAGTTAGCCAGGTTGATGGGAGACCCTGGGTAGACTGGAGTCGGGAAGTAGGGGATCCTCAGGTTAGCCATCCCCTGATTAACCAGCAAGAAGTTGGCAGCGTGTTTTGGCTTTGGCTTGCACTCCAATCCATCCCCATGGAAGCCCTCATTGCAGACACAGGCAAAATGTGTTGGAGTTACTGGAGCACATGTGGCATCCCTAGAGCAGTACTCAGGGTTCTGACGACAAGAGGCCTGGGCTCTGCATATAAAACCATCTCCGTAGAATCCCTGAAATCCACAACATCATTACCATCATTCTTCAGTCTGTATTTCCACGATTGATGTAATTGATGATGACTCACTGGTAAACACATGCAGGCATAATTCCCAGACGTCTGATTGTAGCCGCAGACGGCATTGCTTCCGCAATTATTAACGACATTACATCCAATGTGATCTTCAACACACTGATTTATTCCATCACCGTGGAATCCAGTCATACAGACGCACTTGTAACCTTCTCCACTCGTTGTTATGCACTGGGCATTGACGTGACATTGAGAGGGATTGGTGGAGCAATCAGCCACTACACACTGACCGTTCACCATATTAAATCCGGGATTGCAGGTGCATTCGTAACGCGACTTTGAAGGATTGTACGAGCACCTCTCATTCTGGCTGCAGTCGGAATGATCACTGCATGCATCTATTGCCATCAATACTTGTTAATTGAGAAATGATTGATTTGTCACCATTTTTCCCTTATTTCACTGATATTTAAAGAATTCATCTCGGAGTAATTCATCCTCAGACATTTCTTCCGCAAACAAGTCCATACTAAAACCACTTCATCCCAAGATAACATATAATCCAGAATGTGAAAGATATGGATTCATTGGATGCCCCGGGCATTTTGATGGACGAAGTCTTATTCAATACAGTATTACAGAGTCATATTCAATGGATAGTCTATTCAGGCTTTAATGTCCTTGCTTTTTTGAAAATCGCAATTCCATTCACTTTCCTCCCATTTTCTCTCGTTGAAGTTGAAAATGCTATTGTATTGTGAAGTCTAGGATGAGTTATCCGACAAGAATTTACCTAGAACTGTTTGCTCGATCTAAATCGAATATTAATTACTACTTCCAATTTGCTCTAATGACAGCTGTTGGATTACTTGGATTTTTCTAGTAGCAAGAAATGATTAATTATTAATTGTTAAAATAATGCACCGATTGCACTGCACGTGGTTCCATCGCCTTCAAATCCAGGATTGCAGACGCACTTTGCGATGAGTTCGTCAGGTCGGCAGGATGCGTTGGGATCGCAAATGTCAACATCCATACAGGATACATCTATGTACAGATTTAGTCAAGCCGGGTTTAATGAGGACGTACCTTGCACGATATCTCTTCAGGAAAGCGATTGACGCTGTATTAGAATGAGGATGCAGACGTACCTGCTTTTACGCACTCAATGCCATCGCCTTCGTAGCCCTCGTTGCATTGGCACTCGTAATCCTCTGTACTCGAGATGAAAATGCATTGCGCGTACGGATGGCACGTGTTCACCACGTTGCAAGATACTATAAGCCGATGCAGTTGTTTAAAAAAATTATTAAATGGAATTAAATGATTTCTAAGTACTGTGGCTTGTGATAAGAAATAGGAAAACATGAGGTAGCAATTACTATGAATTTTTAATTGTTAAGCAATGCCTGGGGTTTATGGTTTTTTAAATTTGGTAATGATTTATTGATAATTATTTTGCAGATTCGCACCAGGGATTTTTTATGATTCCCAGCTAGAATGACTATGATATCTCGAAAAAATTGATGACAATGCAAATAAACAGGCAGTCAAACTAATTGGCTAGTTTTTGCCCACTGTAAGGCAGTCTTGGGCAGATCTCTTAGTTGATAATGGTTGAGTGATTTGTATTCATTTAATCTAAATTAAATCGAATAGGTAGTACACCACACATTGTGTTCAGTTAGTGATTGCTGATGGTGAGATGAGGTGCTCAGGCGTTATAATGGAGACTGAGAAATCTTTTGAAAATTGTCCAAATCATTCATATCTTTGTCTCCATTTTCTTTAAGTGTAACGATAGGTTGCCATGACGGTTAATCCATGCCGAATTAAATAGTTGTAAAATGTGAACACGACCAAGTGAGTGTTGTGGAAAGTCTGACCTGTGGCTAGAGTTAAATAGCTGGTGAAAATCTACAAAATAACCGTGAAAAGCCCAAAAAATCATGCATACGTTGGGCTCCAGTGGGACCCATGGTGTCGTGCTTGTATCCAGGCTGAGGTACACAAATATCATCCTTTCCCTCGTAGTCATAGCCCCAGGGACAAAAACAACTATCCTGATAGCATTCCGGTTGAGGTTGTGCTGATACTAAAATACATTCTTTATCCTCAAATGACTTTGAGAGAATTTTAATGTTCATTCCAAGCAAGAGTGTGCAGCCTCATGCAATGAAACAGTCGAGTACTCACGATCTCGGTGGGGACCACTAGTACTGGTCCCCAGGTTCTGACGTTGTGACCTGACGCAGGTGCTGTCTCGCAGCTCCCAATCAGGGGGACACCAACAAATTCCATTTGCACAATTTGGCTCTGGAGTTTCCTCCGCATAACAGTTGTATCCGTCACCTTCACAACGAATAAGTTCTTACTCGCTATTTACGTTTGGTTGAATTTAAAGTTATAGGGTGGCGGGATAATTTCAATTCTCAACTTTACCGACGAATCCTGGCAGGCAGAGGCACACGTGCGACTGCTTCTGGTGGTCGTAGGTACACTCGCCTTGGGGGGAGCAGTTGTTTGCCAAGTTGCAGGGATCTAGATTATTGAAACTGAATTTTTAATAACGCCGAACTCAAATTACATTTATCTTCATTTTGCTTTGACGATTGACTGAAATTATATATTAAATATTTCTCGATTTTTATTCTCAATCCTAAGTGGTTTTACCTTCTGACTGTGGCAGCGGTAAGTATCAAATATTCCCCGGTTTATATAACCGTAATTATTCAAATAAAAGGGAAATTCTTATTGTGAATTATATGAATAATGAAATAATTATTAGTGAATTATTCATGTGGGGCGATATAGAATTCTCCGTGGCTGGGAAATACGGGATTTAGTGATAGTTTTTCGATTTCAAAATTCTTCTTGTAAGAGAAAATGATTAGAACTTCATTTTTATCACGTTCCCATTAATAAAAATTAGTTAACTAGTTTATTTAGTTCAGAAGAAAAAATCGTATAAAAGTTCATTCGAATCGTGAACGTTAAATATGTAATTTCAATGGATAAAATTAAAAAATATTCTTCGAACTTTCAACAATGCTGAATTGAAATTACATTTATCACCACTTTTCGTTGAATATTGAGTAGAATTATAATTTCTGGGTTCATATAATGGTAATTATTCAAATCATATTGAACTTATTCGAAAGAATCAATTATTATGAAAAGAAATTACATGAATTAGTAAGAACATATAATAAACTTGAATTATTTATATGGAAAGATGAGTAATTTTGCCACGCCGAAACAATAAGGGATTTATTGATGGTTTAAATTAAAAAATTCCTCTTTTGGAAGAAAATAATAGAAAATTTTGACTCATTTTTATTTTCATTAAGCTATCATAAATAAAGATTAATTAATTACGTCTTTAGAACAAGCAATTCACGTGAGAATAATTTTTTATTGTAAACATTAATTATGCTATGTCAATGGATAAAATTATTAATCAATGCGAATGATATGAATTCGTAAAATTGTGTCGTTGATTTGAATGATTTGTGTGAGAAATTCAATATTTCTGTAGTGGGGAAATAAGAAATTTATCAATCACTTACCCTCAGCTGGGAAACACCCCTGATCGCTCTTGACGAATCCTGGAACGCATGAGCAGATTGGCTGGTCATTTATCAACCTGCACTCCTCGTATTCCCCACAGCGGGTGTCTTCGCAGCTACCGAGCCCTTGGAAAGGAAAATAACCATTGTAACTTCAATTGATATTTTACCGAATGTCGCACCCTTACTTTCGCAGATCCTTCCGTCCCCGGTAAATCCTGGCCTGCACTGGCAGGTATGACCCCCTTCGTTATTAATGCACTGAGCTTCAGTAGAGCAGAGATGATATCCAGCCGTACATTCGTTGATATCAACACAACTCGCCGATCCGTCCTCTTCATATAGTTGTTGATAACTGGAGAAAAAAATAACGTGAGGGTTGATCTTCTTTATCAGGGGTGTGTCAATTTCCCGGCAATTTTCAAGATGTCAAGAAATCCTCAGTTAACTCTTTATTTTAAAATTCCTCTTTAGAAAAAAATTATTTTATGTTCATTTTTGATTCCATCAATTTTCCATCAATGAAAATTAATTAAATAGTTTAATTATAAAAACAAAGAATTTGGGCGAAAATAATTTTCAATCGTTAATATTAAATATATAATTTTAATTGATGAAATAAAATGATTGATAAAATTCCGTAATGTGTATCCCTCCAGCAGGGATTGGCAACTAATATTATTTTTTTCCAATATTTCTGTCGATATTGCGCATTTATTTAACATTGAGGTACTTTTATTAAATGATGTAGATTGAAATGTAGATATAAATTCTACATGTGATCTATTTTTATTTCTGTTAAATTGATGATTGGTTGGAAATTTATTATTTATTGCCAGACAGACTATTAGGTCTTTATATGAGTTTAATTTAATTGTTCCATTAACTGTTTACTGATTCAAGTATGTTCACATTATTCAATTATGTTAATATAAGTGTTTGATTTTTCCCATCAAAGATCTCCAGAAATGCTATATACTTTAATTAAAAAACGGATTAATTTCCAGTTAACGAATTATAATTAATAAAATGAAAATTACCCAGTATTACAAATGCATCTGAAATCATCGCCATCAACAACACAGGAGCTGTGCTCTCCGCAGGTTTCTCTTCCCTGGATGCAGGGATCTTCCTCCTCCAAGGGTGTCATTTTGGTATTCATGGCAAATCGAATGATGCCTTCGCGGGCCTCATAGGTCGTAAGTCCACGAGAGAACTTGAGTTTCGTTGTGTTGTCCCCCATCGGCTTCACATGAGTGCAATCCTGGTAGGTGATGGTCTGATCGACGGAGAAGGGGTACTCGGTGGGATTTCCGGTGAGCTGGTACTTCCGGCTGCTGTGGGAGCGAAGGATTCCTCTCCTGTTCGACGTGTAAACCTCCTCGTAATCGCCGAAATCGACCCTCGAGTCGGGGGGGAGTCTTGGCAAAGTGCCCTGGATGTCAGCCTCCATCTTCAACTGGCCGAATACGTCGAGCCCCAGGTAAATACTATTTATCGATATTCTACTTCCACTCGATTCAAACACTAACTCTGCTGTGTGGTTGAATAAACCACCTGTGAAATAGGGAACACGTTCAAAAAACTTGTTAACAGAAAAGTCGTTGGATAAACCTGCCAAAACAACTTGGCGCTTAGTGCTTTGCAGGTAAATAAATTTGATGAAAATAACTTCGTCATAAAACTTCGTGTGAAAATTACTGCAGTAAACCGAGAGAAAAATACTGGAAAAATAACCGAACTTTTACGTAAACGTGGCATGGCCTTGGTTTTTATGGAAAATTACTGGATTTACTGTACAAATTTGTCTTGAAAATTTCTTGAATTTTCAGTACTTTCTTCCCAAAAACAAGGTCATCCCACGACTACGGAATAATTCAATCATTTTCCGAGTATTTTTCTCCGTGTATTTTTAATTTGGTTCGGGAAATTGTGTCTCAATAAAAATTGTGGGGAAAATCCCGGTTAACAAATGTTTTGACGGATGAATTGTTTGAAGTCGACTTTGTGTTTTCATTTCAATTGGATAGTTATTTTGGGACTCATATGAGTTATCTGGTTGATAAATGCGGGTGTGCTTATTCACCATCGGTATTTGTATAAGGTACGGTTATTGACAAAATTTTTGGTTTGTTTCATTTTCGTATAAAAGTGATGATATTTATTTATGAGGTCGGTCCAAAGATATAATTTTTAATCCGTATCTCCATATAAGCTCTGAATGTATGTATATATGTATATGTTACCACACATAATTACCTAATCTTCGTATTGAGCAATTGAAAAACTATACAATGAAATGCTCGTAACAAAAAAGTTACATGAATTATTATTTTAGGATTTTTTTATATTTTTGGGATAATTTTCATTTGCAGTTGTTTCGTTGCAATTTTTTTTCTCATGTTTTTATTTCATTTTACTGAGTTCTGCCGTGAATTGTTTTGGATGAAGATATTTTGACTGGAGATTTGTATCGATGAGTGTTTTTGAACGAGTTTTTTTACTCAATTATTTTTAACCCAAATTTCTTTAACATATTTTTAATAATAATTCGTTTTTCAGATAGGGCGGAGAATAATAAATAAACTCCAAACTATTGAATTGTTTCATGCAGTAACGAATGTTAAACAATGGAATAAATTTAGAATTGGGATTATTGAATTTTATGTTCGATAGAAATGCAATTTAAATGCTGGAAAGTGGATGGGATGATGAAAATCCCTTCTGGGCATGAGGATGCCACATGTGGCATGCAATCAATTGTGTACAGTTGATGGTTTCGTGGAGCCACGCTGTTAGTCAAGTTTCTTAGTGGGAATGGAAAGGTGAAAAGTCAGCTCCTTTCAGAAACTAATCATCGTTACCTGTGAGCTGGTAGCCATTTTTTATCTCTCCCATTGGTTTAGCAAATAGCCACCCAATTACACCACCCAGGGTTCCTAATAATTGAAAGTCCTGGCCTACACTCTCCGGTATACGTGATAGTGCTGTGTAGGTTCGCCCATCCTTCGTCTGCACGTAGCATTGGAGATCCCTCGACGGCAATTCTTGACCGTTTATTCGACCGGAGACTTTGCCAATTACTCGGAGTGGTAAATCTGGAATTTTTACAAAAGTTTCTTCCGTGAATTATTTTGATGAGTTATTATTCAACGACTTTAACTACTGAAGATGTTTCTAATACGGAAAAATATTCACTCAACCGAGTTTTTTTAGAATAATTATAATTTTGATGACTGGACCGATCCTCGTGACCGATCCGATCTATGTGAAAGGGAAATTATTCCTCAGGAGATGTAATAATTGACAAGTAAATATTTTCTCGTATTAAATCAATTTTTTAGATGAGTAGTTTTTTTTAGTTTGAGTTGGTGTTTTTTTTTGGGATGTACCATTTGGCTGACAGGACTTTCCGTTCCCGAAGAATCCTGGCTTGCAACTGCAGCAGTATCCGTACTCGTAGTCAATGCAAGTCGCCTTACTGTGACAGGTTGTAGCACCTGTCATGCAGGTCTGGTCCATCTGTACGTGCGAGTCTGGAAACATTTTGTTAACCACTTGACGCGCAAGTTGCACGTGGGCACGCGTTAGTGTGTCATTTGGAGAATTGAGGGAAAATTAGAGAATTTTGAGCTCTTATGATTTCAATTGATTGGAAAAATAATGAGATTTGTCAGAGTTGTGTGATTTAGCGATTTTCCTGGTTATTTTACGTACTGTCAATATTATTTGGGGTTTTGATGTTTTGACCCTCTGGAATTGGACCCATTTGGAAAATCCATTGGCCCGGTCTGTTGATGTTCGACCATCTAAATAAAAAATGTCGAATTCAACAAAAAAATTATGTTAATAATTCCATATTTAAATGTATGAAAAAAAACAAAAAAATAAAAATTTGGTGATTTTTTCCGTACATGATCGGTCAGGATCACGAGAAAAATGTGTGTTCAAAATATTCGATAAATATTATTGGGAAGATCAAAAAACCGTGAGGTTTTTCAAAAAAGATAGAAGAATGTATAATGAAAATACTTTGAATGTCACGTACTTATCAATATTTTGAATTTGATCGGTTCCCGATCCCTTCAAAGTGTACATTCGGCCTTCACTCATGAATCCAGCCTGGGCTTTGGCATCTGGCAATCCATTTGGATGAGATTCACCCTGAATCCACTGAATACCACCGTTGGGATATAAAAGTTCAACGTACGAATGCGTGCCATTCGATGATATCGCCACTTGATAGGTATTGACCTATTGATCAATGAGAATCGTTTATTTCCATGCATTGATTTATCGGGTGAAATGTGATAAGGCTTACTTTATCGCTCTTCTCGTTGTAATAGCCAACATCGAGCCACGTCGCCAGGAACACGTGAGTTGGTTGAAAATTCTCAGTTTCCTTGAAGGCACTTCTGACCATTCCACCAGCACGAGAGAGAATCTCCGGATCATCTGTCTCACTGTAGTATATTGTACCGGAACCTCTGGTGTCCACATGGGTGTACAGGGGAGCAATCACAGGGTCGTCCAAGGGAAAAGCGATGTTGAAGAATCTCTGCATCGAACGAATGAACGAGAGAACCCCATTTCCGTTTACCTATCGGTTTCAATGAGATCTATATTTATCTCGAATGGAAAGGATTCCACATCAAAACTTGCTCAACTTTTTCTGTAGCTTATGAAATTCTCTACAAAAAATGCCCGTAATATTTCCTTCTAGAAGCACTCATTGCCGAGCTAATTCAGAGTTCTGTATCGGTGTCGATCATGCGAAGGCAAAAACCTCACACCAGTTTACCTATTGGTTTCAGTGGGATTTACATTTATTCCGAATGTAAAAGATCTTACATAAAAACTTGCTGAACTTTTTTTGTAGCTTATAAAATTCTCTTTAAAAAATGGTCATATAATTATCAATTAGTATCGATTATATGAACGATAGTTTCATTCCGGTTTACCGATCAGTTTCAATAAAATCCTGATTTATCGCCGGGCGAAGGGGCTGTGGAATAAACTTTTATACACCTTTTTTAAAGCATATAAAATTCGATAATAGTATAACAGAACTACTCCCTCTAATTTTCAATTTTCTGAGTTATCAATCAAATTGATAACTATCAAAAACAAAGGAAAGAATAAAATTGCGTCGCACTCCAGGTATACCTGGAGGGAGTAGACCGGTCCGAGTCGACCTTTGGGGGGGGTTTATACCAGTCGCATCCCCGTCGCGAACCCCGGGCTATGCTAAGTGCTGGTAAGGTATGAAACTTTTTAAAAGTACTTCACCACGCCTTGAATTTTTGTAAATACCTCATAACACTGTATAGTTAATTATAAATTAACTACCCTTTGAAGGAGAAGCGAAGTAGGGGTGCCCGTATATCTACATGAGCATCCACCAAAAAAAGGAGATGACTCAAAGAGATTAAATTCATTAATAGCTACTCAGTTCGGACACTGAGGATGTTCACTAACTGCAGGATATACCTCAAATAGAAAATAACTACGGAACTAAAAAAGTTGGAAGTAGATGTAGCTATGTTATACTATTACCTGAAATTCTCTATAAGTAATGTCTTTAATGTTTTTCTCTATAATTGCTTACAACCGAGATAACTGAACGCTCAAGAACAGCTGAAAAAATGAATAAATACCCCAGTTATGAAATTAACAAATCCCATAATTTTCGTCATTATAAAATTAAGAAATTCTCAGCACGTGTCATGACAAACGTACAAATGACGTAACACCACATTTCAATTGGTGACTTCATGACAAAGTGAGTATTCCCGTGAATTGAAGTCATTCACCCACTAAGAAAACTGTGCTAGCAGTCCAGACTAATTCTAATGTACTGTGGGCTGAAAATGCGGCCCTTTGCCCAATCGAAAATTATGTATCATGTGAAATACTTTTTAAATCACTTTAAATTGTCCCGTACTGCATCTTCAAGGCTCACAAAAACAAATATAATAAGAAATCCAGAAAAAATTCAGAAAAAAATATATTTAATAATAACTGGAGGAATCAGCCTGTTAAATGTTGTGTGTTGTTCAGCATTGATTTCTCCATTTGACATCCAATTTTCAACTATGAATGGGGGCATGAATTCACAACGAGTGTTTACATGAATAGATAAAAATCGGGTCGTCTACTACGAGGATATCCAGAATTTGAAAGGCCAATGTCAGTTCAATACATTTGGGGAGGTCTTTCCGATCGACCCGAATTGTTCTCCATGCACTGGGGTCAATCATGTGAATGTATTCCCAATTTCTATTCAAAAACGAGGAATTTAAGGTGAGACTGACCTAATCTGATAAGATAAAGTATTTTTAGAGCATTTAAATTATTGTAATTCCTGACGCTCGAGTTTTTCGATTACCCCCTGAAGACGCCTCTAAAAATCTATTCCCATGGATTTATTATTCATTATGTAAACTCATCTGTGGGAATAAACCAAAAAATATTGATACCGTGTGGTAAAATGTGGCAAAATCGCCATGATGCGCTAGACTCGGTGGGTGTAATGGATGACAGTGTTTTAGACCGTTGGCTATCATTTTCTGGGGCTATCAGCCAGGGTCGAGGGTCACAGAGCGTCGATGACACAAAACATACGGTGGTCATCACGTTTGCATGGGCAAACGAGAAAGGAACTTTGAGTGAACATCTCAAGTCTTTTTCTCACTCGACTGACACTTTTTTGACTGGGATTTTTTGAGAATATCGCTGAAATCCAGAGAATAATGAAATTCTTCGTAGAATGGTTTTTTGCAGATCTCACCCCGTTCTTACGACGTCTTGCTGCTTTTGTTAAAAACTCAGAAACTTTGGGTTGAAATTTCCATTTCACGCATCATCGGGGGACTGGGGGTTGAGAATGTCCCTGACGAAAGAATTTTTTAACGATTATGATTGAAGTTCTCCTATTCTCCTCGTCAACGTGAAATGCCCCGACTCATATAACCGAGTATATCCCGGTTTTATGGTGATAAAAGTGTTAACGCAATCGTGTAATCTAGTACAATCATTTTGATGAATAAAACTGACCACTCGGGACAGGACTGAGTAAAGATGATTGGAGTGTAGGCCGTCCTCATCTTTATGAATGTTTTCCCTAGAACGAGACACCGAAAAATGATCCAATTCCCGATTCCCAGGGCTCACCCATTTACCAATAAATATTCATCCGACACTATCGACTTCACAATCTCCGAAGCATTACAATAAACAAAATACCGTTGGAGTAATGCGTCGGAGATATACCATCTCATGACAATAATTCAACTGACTCCACTTCCAGGATGTTTTCGTTTTGTTTGTATATTAGTGGAGGTGATAGTCTGGGGAGATGCCGAGATTCGATAAAATTCATTGAAAATGCCGCGTGATGATAGCGCTCTTGCGGACGTCATTAATGACGGAGAAGAGTTGAACAATTGTAGAAATTTGTTGTGAATGGGCGGCGTGTGACAAGTTTAAACTGCAACCACGCGAGAGTCAATACAAACAATTTCCCTGGATCCCACCGGAAATTCAACGGTAAAAAATAAAATGAGATGTAAATGAAATGACTCTAGATTCGCCATGGATACAGTGAAAGACTTCTCTTCAGCTGATTAAATTTTCTATAAAAATGGTAGTTTGATACTTTCTCCTAAAACTGATAGTTTTTATGATAATCGAGGCTCAACAAAGGTGTAAAATTCCCCTTATCGGACTCTATCGAAATAGCGATTGAAAGCAGTCGTCCTTTCTTCTCGTAAATGCATTGTCAATCGCTGAAGTGCGTCAATTCACCGATGAAATCATTGATCCGTGATTTATTAATATGCCTATGACTTCCGAGAATTATGTCATCAACAATAAATTCCATGCATCTCCTAAGAAAACCATTGTTTTATGAATTGAAGAGGAATATTCAATCGCCATGATTTGCGTGGCTGTTTATTAATTAATCATTTTATTATCATGAAGCAGACGAAAAAGATGAAAATAAAGTCTCGAGGTGGTGATTAATGGATTAGTATGGTACGGAGCTAACGATGATGCATTAAAAGTACTGGAATTGAAGGGAATGACTGTCTGGAATTGTTATCATTCCCATGACACCACGTGCGCACACAAATTAACGTTAATAACTGAATTAATCTCGTGGGAAGATGAATAGTGGTCAACAAACCCCAGAAATAAAGAGGCGTACTCACGAAAATACTGGTGTAGACTTTATCGTAGAAGTTTATCGGTGTTTTAAGTTGAATTTCAGTGGATGTTAACTGGTTGTTCTGATCGGGCTGGAGGGTTTCGGCGCCTCCGCCAGCGTAGGGATAGAGGCCCTCTTTGCTCAGACCATGGGCAAATTGTAAAATGACAAGGATTAGGAGGAATAAAGCCTGTTGGGCCATCCTCGTGGCTTATTCAGTGAAAATAACACTGGTTGGATACAAAACTCGCCTCGAACTGTCTCGGGGAAGAACACTCTTCAGACTGCGATAAATTCGTCGAAGCGGAGACTCTCTGGCAATTGATGCCAGTGGTGGGCACTAGCCCCCACCCCATCTACTCGTTTAATGAAGACTTTGACTTTGGCTTTCGGTAGGACATCATGTGATGGGAGGACATCACATGATTTTTAAGTTAATTCTTCAAGGGGAAAGCCATTTCTATCTCCTCGTCATGTGAATTTAATTTCATTTTCAACCAATTTTTCAGCCACAACCCTCCGTCATCAATCGAGCAGAGAAGAGGATCGTCTCGTCATTATCTCATCATCTGCATGGGCGGTTTTGTATTTCCATTGAGGTGATTTTCATGCGTGATAGGGTGCCCGGAAACATTTCGAAACACGAAATCGAGCCAAACGACTGGAGGTGGCAATTGGTTCATGCTTCCACCAATTGCGCAGTTGTTGAGAATGATTTTCGTCTCGAGATTTTCAGATACTCATTTGCATCGCATGGGCTGAGGGAAGTTCCAATGATCTTCACAATCCTGGGATGCACATTGTAAATTTATCTTTATTACAAGAATTACGTTACTAATTTGTACATATAAAATATAAATATACAATTGGTTTTTACAAAGATGGTCAGAATTATTTAAAAATCTTCATTGCAGACGGAGTATCTGGTATATCACGATTAATTCCGTCTTCTTTTTTTTATTATTTTTGGCAATGCTTCAACGTTTTACATCGACTGGATAACATTATTCAAATGTTCGGAAATTTTTGGTCGAGTCTTATTGTTCAAGCGGTTAATTTAACGGAATTCTCTGAGAAAAATTAATACTTTTTATACATAGTTTTCGCAATAAATGATTTTGAGTAACCAACAATAATTAATAATGCAGACACTTGCCAAATATTCTCAATTTCCATTGTGTTAGAATTGTAATTGCATAGTATTTTAATGAATGAAGGAAATTATTTATCAGACGTTTCTTCAGATTGTTAAATTGACGAGAATATTTTTCGTTATGAATCTAATTTCTGTAAAAAGTATTTCTTTCTCTCGGTGATACGATGGAATTTTTAAAGAATTCTTGTGCATTCGATGGACTAGTGGATTCGTAATAAACTGGAACAAGGAGATTATTAAAATGAATAAAACGAATGATAAAATTTGAATAGTCAATTGGGGGATTAAATGCAGGGAAGATTTATCTACAAATATTTATCGAAGCTGGTAATTTTCTCTACACCTGTTTCTCTCAACATTGCTAACAAATACTTGTTTTCTTGCGATTTAAAATTACAATTACGTTATTCCCTCTCATTACAGAGCGCTACCACGTGCGGTAATTGCGATTTAACGATTAAAGCTACGGTAATATGTTGAATCGTGCGGTATATATCTCTTTCTATTCTTTCCACTGGTTTCAGCTTCTTTAATTACTGGATGAGTTAGATTTGGCAGTTGTGGGGAAGGGGTGGGGGCGGGACGGGGGGTAATAGAACAATTGTTCCCTCTCCTCATTCGTTTCTAGGTCGAATGTGTCGCACAAGAAATGTATATCAGTCTTTGCTGGATAAATTCGATAGTTTTATCAAAGGTTTATAACCCATTACGATTAAATGACGTTTCAATTCGAATTGACTCTGATGGTGGTTTTTTTAAAATGACTTACGTTATTCATTGACTACTTGTGCCTGCTGCATTTATTTTTTTTTTTATTATTCGTCAGTCGGAATTAATTTACCTCATTCAAGTTCATTTATTCTGGAGTAATACTTTGGCAATAGCCGACAGTCTTTCAATTGGATGATTAATGAGGCGATGAATTTAGTCGGCATGATAAGTATTTATTGGTGCTGATTGGGTCGAGGTGATGATATCGAGTTAATGAGGGGCTCAGGGTGATGTTCATCACGATATTCGCTTCTCTGGGTGTCCAGGACGGGAGTCAAAACAGGTCACCAGCAAGAGGTGACTCTTGCAGGCCTCCACTCGCTTCTGGAGGATCGTCGTCTCCGCCTCCAGGGCCTCCAGGAACGACGGGTCCTGCCAATCCATGCTGTCCTCGACGTGCACTAAAAATCAAATATTTCGAAACGATCATAATAATTAAAATAACTAACATATATCAGTATAATTAAAATCATCGTAATAATGATGCCGATTAACGCCGGGAATAACTCATTCTATAAAAAACTGTATTGAATTTTTTTTCGAAAATTATAAAATTCGCGATGAATAATGTAATAAGCTATTTTGCTCTAGTTATGGAGCAACTAGTTATCTATATAATGGGCTTGCAAATAGGTAGGTGTTTTTTTATTTTATGTGAACTTACAGTCATATGTCCATCTATCATCGGGTATCAACAGTCTCTTTTTGGCATTTCTGAGTTCAATTTTAAGTAGACGCTGGCGTAGTCGTAGGTTGTTTATCCTGGACATCGTGCCACGTGGCTCCGAGCGCAGACGAGCGCGCCGATCCAGTATTTCCACGTCCTCGTCTGTGTAAACGAGTATCACGGGCACCTCCAGCTGTTCCTGGTGCACGTACTCTGCCAGCTGTTCCACCGCTGAAACACCCGCACAACGTCGAAGTTAGAACACCCAGTGCGCCACCTGAGGAAAATCATTATTCTTACGGTGGGGGAGTACTCGAAAAACTTGAATTAAAAGTTCTGGTGAATCAAGGGTCGACGTCAGGTGCAATTATCTCATTTATTCCACTTCATTGATTAGAGCTTTACCTTGATGTTCCTGAAGAGCACTGGTCTGCCTCGAGGAGTCACTGGCGATGCTGCTGGTCTCGCTGTCTCTCACAACACTGTCGTAACCCGAACTCTCAGCTCTGTGTCGTGATAGCGTGGCTGGAGAAAGTTTAGCGGCTTTCGGGGTGGAATCTGCCCCTGAATCGTAGCTCTCTCTGCTCAAACCGTACGACGAACCGAGACTCAGAAGTTTCCGCTGCATTCTACCCGAGGACGGTAGAGAGGACGGAATTGATAATTGCAGAGGGACATTCACTGAAAGAAAGTAAGGGCCATTAGCCTCCAATTAAGGTCCTGGAGGGATAAATATCACCACCTAGTTGTTACAGTGATGAGCAATTACGCCGCAGAATGTGGGTGAATGTCATTTTTAGTAACAACAATAAGCAAAACAATACCTACGAAAATAGCTTACGTGAGCGTTAAGTGATAAGTCAATGGGAATTTCATTATGTACAATCATTTTTTATATGATTATAAAGAAACAACTTTCTACCCTGAGTCTCGGTGTTTGATCTATGACTTTTACTTCAATCAAATTTTTCCATCATCTCACCCTGCATTTTGTATATATTGTTGCGTATTTGCTATCTCTGTATCTCACTCCTAGGTTCATGTCGATTTCATCCTATCATTTTATAGCCCTTTTATTTATTTATTACGCCTTATTTTTTTTAATACAGTAGACTCCAGTTACAGTCACATGGATGGGGCTGCAGGGGGAGCGAATCCGAAGAATTCGACTACATGCAACAGCCCCACCACGTGCTCGCTGCGATCATAAACTCAAGTTTTGCATAGCAAATTCCAATACGAGAGAACAGGGTGACCAAACGACGGTTTTTTCTGTAACATCTTATTGATTTTTCCAGAATAGGGGAGATCAGAGAAAATTCTAAATGAAATAACAACTACGTTGTTCGAAAAGTATCAATTCTTCGCGTGATCGACTTCACTCGATTAACTGTGACTGTATAAAATCAAAAAAACCTTTTGATAAAAACCGCCGTCTGGCAACTCTGCGAGAGAAATTTATTTGTCGGCTTTATTTGGCCTCGAATTCAATTCCTCATCGGAGGATGAAATTGTTTACAATGGACCGTTTACATCTTGGAGCCCGGAGGTAGTAAAATAGGGGAAGCAAAAGATACGCGAAAAAAGAAGGTGAGGAGAGGTGCGACTATGACGGGATTATAGATTCCATAAATCCTTTCATTCTATAATATTTACCTCAGGAAACTGAAAATTATTTTTTGAAAATTTCAGATTTAGCCCCAGGACTTTATCTAGATGTTTGGAAATGTAAAGTGATTTTTTACCAAAACGAAGTTTTCCATCAACCAATTGCCGATTTCTATTCATCGATGTATATTCCCTCCATAGATGATTTTAAAATACTCAAAATCGCTAGGAAGACAAAGATGAAGAAAAAAACACTATTGGCCACAGGAAATGATCTAGACTTTTGGAGGAGGAAAGTGGTTTTTTTTTCTAATTGAATTTTTCCAGCAGCCAACAGTTTATTTCACATATATTGGTCTTGTAGATAATCCAGTCTTTCAACTCAAAGTTGCGAAAAAAAAGAAAAATTATATTACTCGCCTCAGGGCTTGATCTATTTGTTTCAGGTGAGAAAAGTAAGTTTTTTTCAAAATTCAATTTTTTTTAGCAACAAACGGCCGATTCCGTATATGTTTACCTCGTAGATAACTTTGAAACACTCCGACGACTCAAAAAGTAAAAACAAAGATAATGAATGCTAGCCTGTGAAAATTCTCACCTGGAACTTTCGTTTCCTCTTCAATATCCGACTTTCCAGTGACAGTTCTCTCGGATCTTTCAGCAGTGGTGAATAATTTTTTAGCCTCAATGTACTCCTCCTCAGGATCAGAGCCGGAAGCTCCGTTTCCGGGTATCCTCTCGATCTCCTCTTTTAAATTCGGATTGGACGCACCGTCTGGGTGTCGGAGACTAGAAATATTGCACTCTCCTAATTTTCCGCAGAACCTCCTGGGGCTCGCCAAGTGCGCTACACTACTGGGATACCAGTAGGAAGCTGTTGCTGGACGAGACATGCTCTGGCGACAATTATCACAGATCTTCTCCTGCTCGGCTTTGCTGACTATGTAGGCTGGCTCGCTGTAGATGCTGCCGTGGTTGCTCGCGTTGTCATTGAACAGGACGTCGGACAGTGACAGCGATTGACAGCGCGAGGGTGGGCGGAAGACATTTGCTAATTCAAAAAAAATCATTAATTCACTTGCCATTTTCTCTCTTATTAAGCAGGAAGATTATCAATGATTTTTTATGTATTTGTATACAATGTCAATGATTAATAATGTCAATCCTCACTCATTATCTCTCCCAGTACTTATGTGAAATAATGATAAAGTTCTAATTCTCATTTGCGATAACACTTGTAATAATTATTGCGTAATGTTGTCTTTTAATTTAATTTATGCATTATAATTGCTAAAGTTGACTGATCATGTTTGATATAATGCACTGAGAGAAATATTCAAAAATCTAATCGAATAAAAAATAACGGCAGATTTCATGTGAAATTTTATTGATGTAATTTTGAGAAAAAGTTTATTTTAGTATTTACACATCTGATTTGATCTCATTTCAGACTTCTTTGACCATATTTGTAAAGTATAAAGTATAAACCAGCTGTAACGAAACGAAATATCAGATTACCAATTTATTTATCTATTATCCTTACGATTTCTAATATTAAATATTAGCTACTAATTTGATATTTAACTCAGTGCTACTTGATACCGATTCTAGGGTTTTCAAAAGTCTTTCCCGAAATATTTCACGAAAGATGGGAAAATGAAAAAGACTACTTACAGGTGCCATCTCTGACACTGACAGCTGACGAGTTTTCCCTCTGATAAGTAACAGAATTCGACACATTAGCCAAAGCTAATTTGCTCTGATAAAGCTCATGAAGTCTCGCCAACTGATCAAATTTATGCCTTGTTTCCTGCTCAAGGAAATCCTCATGGTCGAAATACGGTCTGGGTAGTACCCCCATTCCACAAACGCCCTGTTGAAACTGTGGCTTGTATCTCTCACTGTCCGACATAACAGACATTGAATCGGTAAACGTCGATACAATAGTGAGATTCTCCTGACTGAGTATCCTCAATGGATGTTCCTCCTGATCGCTCTCAGGCAATGGATTTTCCCCCATGCAAAACGCGATATCCTCCTCAGTGACTTGTAGACAGGAATCCTGCATGGGTACAGGCTCGAGGTCTTCCACCTCAACAATCTCCAAGATCTCATCCTCAGAGGACAAAGAGTGCCTCGATGGTATCAAGTCCTTATGAGATAAGTTAAGACTCTCCATAGAAACTTCCCGGCTAACTCCATTGCTAAGTGGTTCAATCAATGGTAAAGGAGGAGGGACAACGATCTCCTCATCATCATCCTCATCCTCCTGCTGCTCTACCCGCCCCTTAACACTCTCCTCAACCCCGGGAGTGAGATCGAGTCCAGAATCATCATTGGACCTTCCATTTCCCACATTCAACTTAACCCCGAGTTTCTCAGAGCATTCCTCCAGATCAGTCCTCAAGCTGTCACTCCCAACCGTCGACAGAGAGGTATCATCCTCCCCATCCTCGAACCCCCTGAATCCCCCAATCTCCTTAAAAATCCCAGACTTATCCTTCGTCGACGTTGAGGCCGCATGCTTTGCCCTCTGAATCTGGGACGACTGATTCTCTACCCACTTCCTGATCATGATCTTCTTATGATTGTCCATAAAACCATAACCCCCATGTTGAGAGTTCAACGCCGGCAATGTCGATGTCAACTGCATGGGTCCATCAATCCACGTCTCTCGTTTGTGATGTGCATCTTTGAGCAGATGCCTCGCCTCAGCTACTTTGGATTTCGATATCCTGGGCCCATCGATCCACTGCTCGTCAGAGGCCCCTGTACCTCCTGCCTTCGTCGGCGAGTCAATCCCCTTGACCGTCGTCGGCACCTTCGTCGAGGATATCTTTCTCGCAGGACTTGCTTTAGGCGTCGCCGAATGCGCAGGCGATGTTTGCTTCGACGCCGTCTGCGTCAGGCTCTTCACAGCCTTGACTTTGTGCGCTGGACTGCGCTCCTCTGAAATTTTACTCGGTCTCTCCACCCCCGATCCTCTCAGGGCTCGTCCCATTGCGCAACGATTGTCACCGGAATTCAAACTAGGTAAGTACACGGGCGGATGCTCACCGTCTGTCGCATCGTCTGCACCTGGACCCACGTAAATCACAGTGTCCGCTGATAAATCACTTGACGACGGATCGCATTCACTCGTTTGTCGTGCTGCCTCCTCCCCTGAACTACCACCACTACCTGCACCTTGAGCACCTCCACTCACGAATTTGATCTTTCGCCGACGCATTCGGTGGATTCGCGAGGCTAATTGAACTGTCGTCAGGGTCTCGGTATAGTGCTGGGCATTTGGTGAAACGTGGGCTATCATCGCTGCATGACAGGTTAACGAACCCAGGCACTCCTTCAGGAGTTGTGTCAATTTGTGCTCTTTGTAGGGCAAGTGCTTCTGACCATTGAAGATTGCGAGTAAAATATTACCGAGACCCGACAGTGGAATACCCCCTGCGGACTTACCTCGGTCTGAGTTGCCCAGGTCCATTAGATGGAGTCTACTTCGACCACCCGCAACTGCAATTTTTTTAGGATCTCTTTTAACGAGAGCTTCGCATATTTTTCAATGCAATTATGTTTATTATACATCTTTAACTCAAGTTATTTCGCATTGCTTAATTACTCACCTCCACCCTTTCCAGCTACACTGTACTGATAAACATGAAGAGTGTAGAGCATGTGAGCATCACCATCTTCTCGTTGACGACCTGCAACTGCCGCGTCCAGGTAAAATGCTGCCCTCTCAGCTGTTGGTGCTCTGAGCTCGCTGTGTTGCTGCAGAGATAGGGACCCGAAGAATGGATCATCACGGAGATAAACCGCCGGGGACTGCTCAGAATCTGCAATGATATTTTAAATATTCATTTCCACGATAAATCTAGGAAAAATATCACTGTTAGATAATTACACTGAAAATTTCAAGCACAAAAAAATTGTGGAGAATTCTTGATGGACGAATCGGAATTCAGAATCAGAATCAGTATTTGATGTTGAATTTTCACAATGAGCATGAAAAATCAAGCTTCCATTGAAAAATCAATGACCATTCACCACGGAAAGCCTAATTTTCTTGAATTTTCAAGACAAATGAGAAATTTAATGACCAACTTTAATTGAAATTCAATTCAAACTCCTATAATTGGAAATTCAGAAGACTTTGTGACAGAAGTTTCAAGAACTTTTCCACAATATAATTGTAATCGTCTTTTCGCATAGTTTTAAGAAGGAGCTGTCACCATTAGCAAACTCACAAAATTAACTGGAATTGTGGGATTTTTTGCAGTGAGTAGAAATTTTTTTTTGAAAGTGGTACCTGAAAATCGAGAGGACCTCGAGTTCTTTTTCGATTCCCACTTATCTCGGTTTATTCACAACCTATATATCGCGAGAAAAACACCAGCTCCATTACTTTTCAGCAGTCGGGGAGCTCCTGCGCCATATGTGCCCTCGGCTATGCATGAGACGCGTTTATTTCACGTGCGAACGGCAACGTATGGGCTTATAAAACACAGTAAAACGTTATTTAAGGGGGGCTTTGGCTGTTTGAAATTTTATGGATGACGAGTATGAGCTGTTGTAACATTGATCCCGTCGCTAAGTTTATGAAGGCGGACATGGTCATTACTGGGCACACATTTTTTTTATCGCTCCTCTATTGAGATTGAAATCGGGGGACCAACTCTACCCCATTCTGATCATTCGAAACGCGTAGCAAGTCGATTTATCTCGGCGAGGGATTCTTGCGTGTGGGGTGACCCTCGTGGGAGGAGGTGATGGTGAAACACATTGTGTTGGAGAAATCAAAAGTCTGATCAGACAGCAACAACATCTACTTCGGAATTTCTAATTCTTCGTCCAACTTTTTTGGCTTCCGATCGTTCAGGATCTGTCGCTCCGATAAAAGAAGATTCATCTTCTGCCAAAAGCATCGAATTTTATTTGAAATTCAATTATCAATTATTATTCGTCATTATATTATACGTCGGTTGACTATATTTATTGGATTGATGGAGCTATTTGATTTAGTGAGGAGAGTTTATGAGAAAATTAGGAAGATTGGAGAACTAAAAGAAATGTTTGCCAAGAACATGAACGTTCTTTATTTAATTTCGAACTTGGTCTTCTCTCAACTGTGAATTCTTCTCCTCACATCATCGAGTTTCTCCTTTTCCAGACTGTTGTTACGTTTTCCCTGCAGCCACTTAAAGTTACCGGTCTGGAAATACTGTCCATTCTCGAGGCAAATTTTATGAGAGGGAAAACGGTAACAGTCGTACATGCACCTGGTAATTAAGGAAAAACATCCCGAGAGCACTTTCTTTGTCCCTTCGCCTTTTATATTAAGGAAGAATTGCGAGACCAACTTGAAAACGCCTCATCCCAGAATTTAAACCGAGTTTCGAGACAAACAATTATCGGTATCGCCAGGAGTTGCGGTTCTCAGGAAGCGATTTCCCAGGATAACAGTTAATTACTTAATAAGCTGGAAAATTAATTGAGACGCGGTTTAATTAGTTTTACTCTCCACCCTCTCCTCAATGGAAAGAGTCACCGGAGTCAAAGTTGAACTGCTTGAGGGCTGGATGTAACAACTTTTGTCGTTTTTTTTTCTCCAGTCTCTTTTACGCCAAATTATAATTTTCCTTTTAATAAATGAAATAGAACTTTGACAACTGCGATTTAATACAGCAATGGCGTGAAAGGACTGAAGGCGAAGTCAAATGTTCTTTTTGTGATAATTAGAAAATGAAATGAAGTCCGTTCAGACGATTCAGTAGGAACTGGTATTTTGAATAAATGGAGACGTTTGAAATAGTTGTGTGAAGAAAAATTACCATTGGCATAGGCTGCGAGGAGATCCTTCAACTGCTGCTGACCGGTCGTTAATTCGACGCAACTGACACGAACACTAAATCTAGCGCCCGTTCGTTGACGCTGTTCTGCAATTCCTCTAAACAGCCAAGTTATGGCACAAGGGATAGCCCCCAGAGTGTGCCCAGCTTCTGGAGTGCCCAGCATTGTGTGCGATTTACCTGGAGCAATGGAGATTAACAATTCATTAATTAAAATCCACGAGGAGTTGAGTTTCATTTACTCCACTACGGAGAGAAAAAGGAATCCCTGCTGCAAGGGTAAAATCACTTGTTTCCTGTTGCTCCTCTTCAATCCAGTGATTTTTCACTTAACAGGAGGAAAATCTAGTTCCTTGAAGTCTGAGAATTTCAAGATATTAAAAAATAGGAGAACAGAACACGCGCTTTGTGCAATTAATTACACAATGACTGTGTTAAATAAGAATGAATTATTTATATTGAAATATTAAATCATCATTTTTCTGTAATTCTTGCTGGAAAGTTTACTATTGTTAATTTAATCAATTATCGAAAAATATTTAGAAATAATAAATAAAAAATCAAAATAACAGAATGATTGAAAATATACAGTATAATAATAATAATACTAATAATTATTATAAGTTATAATTATAATAATATTATAATTTGGAGTTTTTGATAGTTTTGAAGTCATTTAAAAACATTTTTCTTTAATCCATAATATATGAAATATAAAACTTTCAGATCAGGACAAAAAAATGATGAATTAATATTTCAATATTGCAAGAATAATAATGTAAATTATTCATTCTTATAATCAGTAATTATTACATCGGTAACAGACCCTAAAAAGGATTACTCGGAATTTTGGAAAAGTGGATATTGATTACGTTGGGGATAAAATGTTGTTAGAACAAGAGTAGCTCGAACAAATGTTGAATATTTTTAACAAGTCCTCGCCGTACTAATGCAGCACAGCATGTCCCTGACAGAATGATCTTTCTACTGTGCGCAAATGCAACTGAAATCACCAGATATGTTTCCCAAATGTGTACAAAAACGTAACATGCACCACAACACAGTTAAACACGTGTAATCCTGCACGTAAAAGGACACGTTGCAGTTAATGGCAGTGGAATTTATAACCCCCTGTCGTTTAAATGTTCACGATTCTGCTGATGATATTTTAACGACCTAACCCAGGCTAGTTCAGGCTCATGTGAATTCAGTATGAAGACAAATAAATCATTATTCGAGGAGATTATCCATTGAAGAAATAGGTAATTAAGTTGAATACGCGAGTTTAACTTCTGTTTTTTTTTATAGGAGGTATATCTCAGAATAACGGAGAGAGAAACTGAGACTGAGTTTTGCTTACTTTATCTCAGTTTGTCTTAGTTTTATTTCCATTTTAACGCTACTTTTCTCGTCTGTTTGTTTCGTTTCCCTCGTTACTTTATTCCGTATCTCCTCCTCGCGAATCTACTTGGCATCATCCACGCTGCCTTATAATGATGAATTTGCATGCAAACTCGATATCACTACTTAAAATGTAAAACAACTTTGCTCTTCTTTGACTGTGTACACTATCCCGCCTTATGAATCGGCCTCTGAGACACTGCATGCTCAGCTTTGAATAAGAAATTTTCCTTCTGATTTATTTCAGGGGTAATTTTTTCGTTTTCGCCAAGCAGAAAAATATTTATTGTTCAAATATTAATCATTTCAAATGAGTAAATGAGTTGAACGAGAAAACTAGAACTTTTTAAAAACGATACCTGAAATATCTCTAAAATATTAAGAACGGGAATTTTGAGAAATTCAATACATTTCATTGAGAAATCGATGATTGTTTAATGGATAGGGGAATTTAGTGAACCATTTTAAATTTAATTGAAAATAGGATGGAACATTAATGTGACACACTTGTAAACATTTCATGAAATTTCAGAGACGGAATCATCTGAATATTCACTTATAATACCACAAGAACTTCATTTTCAACTTTTTCACGGATTTTCAGTGGGAGATGGACGAGATAATGAAGAATTACTAGAATATTCAAAAAAACTTCAAAAAATAATTAAATTAGCTTCATCAAAGAAGATTCTCCAGAAATTTCATGTCACAATTATTATTACAAATTTTATGTTTTTTTATCTCAATTTCATGTGTAATTTTTCCACAGCGCATTTTGACTGTAATTTCCGGAATTTTGGTAATTAAGGTGTTTCGACAGTTACTTATACTTGCGAAAAAATTTCCCAATAAGCTAAAAACATCAAATTTGCAATATCTGTTGTTGGCCACACCGTTTTTAAAATATTTGTTTCCAAAGTTCGACATTGTATATTCCAAAAATCACGTGGTAACAGTTCTTCACATTTTTGTAATATTTTCCATTGTTTTCAATAATAGATACTTTCAATATGGCGCCTCTATCATCTTATGAAAGTATTCACAAGTATATTCACAAGGACCTTCGGAAGTACCTTAAAACGGTATTTTTATCCAAGAATTAATTAATGGAAATCGACGGAGACAAATATAGCAACAAATTCTGATTCGTGGTAGCAGTAGTTAATAAATAAATTGTTTTTACCGAGGCCAGCGTGTCCAAAGCAGAAGAGACAGCCGTCAGTGCCGTTTATGACTGCATGGATCACGTCCGTCAGTGCACTAGAGCAGATTTCCGTCTGAAAATACAAAATAGATGAGATCAGGGTGATTTTTTTGATGGATTCCTTTTTGGGGCTGAGAGGGAGAGACCGGTGGATGGAACTGGAGAGAATATTTTACGGGATCAAAATGTATCGGGGAATCCTAGGAGAAATCTGGAGACGGGAAAAAGTTGTACGACGCTGCGACCAGAACAAGATTGAAATCTTTGAGAACGTCGAGTGGATGGGGCGCAGATCGAAAGGGACGGCAAATGGGGAATAGGCGATGCAAATCTACCGTCGATCGACAAAGGGGAATTTTTTACCTTGAGAAAAACAGTTTAATCTTCGTTAATACCCATTTCAATGGAAATGGCTGTCATTTTTATTGAAAAATTATCCCACGCACAATGATTTAATTCCACTTATTTGTAAATTGAATAAAAATCGGTGGACAATAATATTCCTGAAAATTATGGAAATCATTAACATAGATGGAACTGTTGTGTACCAAGAATAATATTAAAAAATTCCTCCCGTGATCCGGACAATATGTCATTCGCAAAAATCGGAAAATGAAGAAATATAAAATAATGCAATATAAAAAATAATGTAATATCGAGGATAACATCCATGTGTATTCGACGTAATATGGATACCCGATCCCTCTCCAGTTGGGCAACAAAGATAGATTAGCAACTAACCATTCGCTGATGCAGTCGAATCGACGATGAAATAAAAACTCGTGAATCTATAACCTTTGATTCAATTAGAAATTCACCACGGCATTAAATAATTTTCTTGTACTTCAAATTCGCAGGACACCTTGGGGATTGAACAAAGTCTTTATTTATTTAATAAATCGTTAAATTAATGAAGTTGATTCTCCTTGGGAGCTATTCATTTTTAACAATTATGATGCAGCTACTGTTGGATGAAAAAAAAATGGATGAATATTTATAGACAATTGGTTAGAGGGATGGATTTATTTATTATTCAATGTGTAACAGACCTGAGTAAACAGGTTGCATAAGGTTAGTGTCTGTGCTAGTGTCAGTGCTGTATGGTACAGGCCGATGTGACGGTTAATGAAATACGTGACCAGAGCCTCCATCATAATCTCAAACACTTGATTGTGCGGTACAACGAGAACTCGGGAAATATGGGGGATCGTGAGGAGTCCTCGAGGGCTGACGTTAACCAGTAGGTTTGTCCAAGAACCCCTGTTCCTCATCATTCTACCCAAGTTTCGTGTAAGCAAGGTGTACGAACCACTCGGTGGACTTCCACGGGCCTTTAATGAAATTTACATGGAAACCCATCGAATTCAAGTGGAGCGTTTAAGGATTTTGACAGGCTCCATATTTAATTGAAATTCTGGAGACTCACTGGCTAAATTTCGGCACCAGCCATCGTCATCTCCAACATTTCATTATAAACATAAAATATTAATGGTCATTTGGTAGAAATTTAGATTTTGAATTTCTGTTGAATTCGTCATTGACGAATTAAGTTCTTGAATAGTCAATTAATTCTTCATTTTCAATTTATCGAAAATTGAAAATCGGATTTTATAGAATGCTTGATTCTTCCCGATTGTTCCATCACTGAATTCAATGAATTTCCGAGACCGGTTCCCCGTACCGAGTTTATTAACAATTACGATGAATAATCATTTACTATTTGTATTTTACCGAAGATCGATTAAGTTCTGAGAAGTGGTTATTCACCGATAGCTCGTGACTGGAAGACCTGACGTAAGCGATTGAGGACTAATTTTAATCTCCGGAAAAATATCTCTATGATAGAGGTAAAATCTGTAATTTCCACTCTGCCGATGTCGATATATCGACGTTTAAAAATGTCGAAACTATCGTCAACTTTTCAACGTCAACGGAGGTTGGAATTCAGGGCACGTATCACGGGCCGTCATTCACGGTGAAAAATCGGGCATGAGACGTTTCAATTACCCTTGAATACCGGCTCATTCATTTCGTCATGAGCGAATTAAAATGTTCACCTCGGATGTGAGGGAGATCCACTGGATTTTCACCCGTTGTCGCCTCCGTGTGATCTCAAGGAATTAGACTTACAGAGCGCGTCTTGAGTAAAGCAATATTGGCTCAACGTACTGAATACATGATGGAGGGCCATGTACTTCGACCTTTTACCGTGGATGTGACGAGTTTGTATGTGTCGTCACATGTACCTTTGGGATACGAGGGAGGTTTGAAAGGCTAGTTTCCAGGGAGTCAATGTAAAAGCTGTGTTGCGGATGCTGGAATAATGTTTCCAGCTTTGAGAGAGGATAAGTAGAGAATATTCTCGCATATTCCCAACTGGCATTATTCCGCAATGCCAAATAATTCTCGATGAAAATACAAACCAAAATATTGTTCATTTGTGAAACTCGGAAATAATTGGAATTATGAATATTCAGGGGTAGTAGAGTTTTTTTTCCAACCCTACCAATCAATCTATTGTTTACGTTACAATAATTCACATGTGGTCAAATAAGTTTTTATGAAAACAGAAATAAAAATGTTGTATTTAACGATCCGCTGATTAAAAATGGTAAATTAAAAAATTAAAAAACAACGGGATATTTCATAGAATTTCATTTTTCATTGGATAATCGATTTGGATATTGAAATGATAAATCCTAAATTTTATAAATATAAACAAATTTTTTTTTTAATTAAAAAAATATATCATTCGAAAAAATTGGCAATTCTTCAAACTCGCGGAAATTTCAATGGCTCTCTTTGTCATGAAATAAAGAGTGAAGTAAGTGGGGAATTAATTTTCCATTGCATATACTATATAGTTTTTTTTTGTTAATAAATTATCAATAGGCTTGTGACTGGTGATATGCAAGATTATATGAACATAGCTAATTGTCTACTGATTTCGAGAGTCTAGTATCGAAACTTTAATATTCTAATCAACTGAGGTAGAATATTCCAGGACCAACCCAAAACTCAAACATTTCCCTTATATCGATACACCGGCGATTGCTATTATTTCCATCATGGAAAATGAGAAACTTAAATTTGACGGATTATAATGCTTCCGTTAAAAAACAAAAGTCTTTTTGCATGCCACGAAAATGGAATAGTCCCAAAAAATCTGTCACGCCCCATAAAATAGGGAATAGGATAAAAAAAATCAAATATACCTCAACGAGGAATGACGATAACTCTGAAGAATAACCGGCTGGAAAACTTTGGATCCCCATATATAAGTGTTCAGCCAGGGGTACAGTTTCAGTGGCTGCCCCCTTCCCCTGAATACTCCCCTGCTGTCATGAAATATGTCGCGATTTACACAGGAGATTGGCCTCATTGGCGCCTGGGGACCAAGTGTACTCCTCCCCCAGGGGGTCAGGGGGGTGTGAGAGGATAGTGAGGGGGGTTAGGATCAAAAAAGCATTTGGCAAATCCGTCGGTGAAGTGGTGGAAGTTGTGTACGTTGACGAAACTCCACGGGTTAAATCCAATCTCACTCATGCGGTATCGACGGGTTTATCTGGCCTCACGGAAGCCCACGGTTAAGTGGAATAAAGATTGCTATTCCAGGGGATAAGTTTTCGGAATGAATGAGCCCTCACTCCCTCGTAATAAAACTACACCCTGAAATATTAAAGAAAAAAACGCTGAATCTGCTCTTTCTGTTTTACCCGCTCACAATCATCCGTTTACCATTTTAAAAACCTTTTAGTCCTCATAAATACACGAGCATTTGGCTACGCGAACCATTGAATGATACATTACGCCGTATTACACCGATGGTTATGCACAGCCGTGAAAACGAGACCGATCGAGTTTTAGAATTTCGAACACTGGCTCGGAGCCGTCCCCATGGTGACGAACGCCCCATTACCGTGAGCTGTTTGCACTTGATAAGATTTTTATCGCAAAACCATCCCACAGCAATCGTTCACATGCATCTATACACACTTGATATCGACCATCAGTTTGCGAAAGTCGGTGCATTCGGTTGTTGTGTGCATTCCTATCTAATGGGTCTTTTTACGTGCGTGAATTATGCTCATGTTCAGGTGCATCTATTCGACAAGAGGAATTTTTTGTCACATTCATTCTGATACTCACAAAACTTATTACTACTAAATTAAGTTCATTGTATCGAGTAGATTCACCTGGCAAATATATGAAAGTGTTGAATTTTTTATAGTTCGAATGTTACAGAATATAATTAGTACATTCAAAAAACTTCCATTTCTTTAGTTTTTAGATATGAGATTTCGACGTGGCAATTATTCCGATGTCAAGAAGAAATTAAAAAAAAAATTGTCTCAGTCGACTTGTTTTTTCTTGGTGTGAAATTTCCTTCCAAGAATTGAAGCATTGTGGAATGAAACCATGAAAATAGATACATTTATTTAGGGGTTAGTCAGGCTAAACGGGACACGGGGGTAAAATGGGATGAATCAGGAGGTTCAATGGGAGACGAGGGGAAAATTTCTGTTGGTGAAAAGAAAAATGACTGAGAATGAGTCAAACACGCTTTTTCGTAAGTGTCCCATTTTGCTTGGCTCTCCCCTAAGTAAATGTGGAATAAAAAATTTCAGAAAGACTAGATCTTTGGGGGGAGATGGAGAATCGTGAAAATATAAATAATTCAATAGGAAATTGAAAGCTGTAATGATTTGCAATGAGGGTCTGACAGGGTGGGAAGGTTCAATCAGCATTTAGCAATGAAGCAAATGAGCAATAGATCCGTTGAGTGCACTAGATGAGGAGATGAGGGGAGGATGAGGGAAATGCATTGTGTCAAGGAGTCCCGTGCCAACACCATGAAAACCCATGAAATGCACCTCTTCCTCTTGCATAACCGTAGGGCGTACGCAGAGGCCACCACCAAGCCGTGTAATCTGCAGCGTGACTATTAGTCGTAAGTCAATAATAAAGCCCTTGTCCCACTAGGGCCATTCTAGTTGCGGTGAATTATCCAGAGGTGAAGGGGGTCGAAGGGTATTGTCTACCCAGGGCACCGTTTGCGGGGATAGAATTGTCAGCGCTCAGGCCAATACTCAGCCATTGCCTCTCTATGCCAACCTAATTGAGATGGATGTTCCCAGACCACTGAGCTTTCATTTGCTCTAGTCCTTTCACCTCTGTACTTTCATTTTTTTATTCACTTTTCACTACCATTTCATCGCCTGTCTACTTCAGCACTCGCGTTTCGCCAAATTCACCATTTTTTGTGAATTTTATGGAAAAGCTAAAATTTAAAAATTTTAAATTTATTGAAATTTCTCACTTATATGAGTTGCAATTCAATTTTAATTCAAAATTATCAATAAATTTATCGTTTATCTTGATAATTTGAGAAAATTGGGTTTTTGGTGTTTTAATAAGTTTTCATTTTTTAATGAGAGTTCGAATTTTCAGGCTCATTGTGAAAATTCTATAATGAATACGAATGAATTTTTAATTGAATGAAAATTCAAGGAAATTATTGCTTGAATTTTTTATATTTTTATGGCTGGTCAGTGCTGTGCATTCCTGATATGCATTTTCTGAATGAGAATAACTGAAATATTTAAGAAATTCATTGATTAGTCACTGAAAAACTCCATAAAGATTTGATGTGAATTTTCCGTCGTTATGAATTTCAAGTTTTTCAATTCAAAATTTCAAGAGTAATTTTCCAACAGTGTAGGAAATTATAAATTCCGAAAAAAACTAGATTTTTTGTACATTCTGGATTTTGGATTTTGGATTTTGATTATTTACGAGGAATTGTTGAATCATATTATTTATTGATTGATATTTATTATTGATATTTATTAATTGTTTAATTATATATTTATGGGCTAAACTGAGATGAGAAAATCACTTGACAATTGAGTAGATATTTCACAAATTATAGAAAGATTCATGATTTATCGGAGATTCAAGTGGGAAAAGGCGAAAATTTTTTAATTCCTAATAGAATTTCATATTTTTTCCAACAAACAGAACTTCAAAAAAAAAAAAACCCAATAAACAATAAAAAAAAAACAATCCATTGATTACCAAATTTGATAAAACTTTCAATAAATTTTCAGTAATTTTTAATCCCCCCAAAATGCAGAAAAGGAGAATAAGTAGTACAGCTCAAGATTCTCTGCGCCACGCCCCCCTTTCCCAGAAATTATCGAAGGAATTTAATTTTGCTCAAGCCATAGACCGAAGACGAATCCTCGACTGGACACTAGATACGGATTAGACGTAAATACAGGGGGGATAAGAGTACGACTCGTGTGTAAAAGTTTCTCACAGTTGTGCAAAAGGAAACAAGTGAAACAGCGATAAGTTTTCGCAGAAAGCAGAGACGAAAGTGGAAATGGCGGAAAGGTAATTTCAGGTGGAGATATAGCATGGAGAAACGTGACGGATTCTTCTTTTGTGAGATATTCTATTTGGTAAAATGTCTCGGGTGAGACATCCCGGATACTTGATTACAAACATCAGAGAAGATAAAACGAAATAAATCATGAGAGTCTCAAGGTAGAGGTCCATTAAAGACCCCAATGTGACGCCTTTGTCACAATATTATTTCTCGTGTCGAGGGAGTTGTTTAATTCGGCAAAAAATCGCCCCGGCGGTTCATGGGGGATGAATTGCGCTATTAAATCGCTCAAACGGTTCTCGGTACATTCTGAATATTCAACGGACTCTTTCAACCCGTTCCAACGAGTTTATTTATAAAAATGCCAATTTTCAGGGGGGCCCCATTGATCTGGCAATGGCGGTACGTCAGGGAGGGAAACGGGGTACGGCCTGGTGGTCTCTGGAGAACCCTCACCGGGGAAGAGGTCTGGGAGGGCTACGAGCTCATTTGAATTCGACGCTCGATAATGTCCCCAGGGACCACCAAATACCGCCTGGAAAATACCACGATATATTCTAAGGCCTTCAATGGAATTTCCACTATTGAAAGCATTGGAATTAAACTGATGAGGGGAAACATTATTCCCTCTGGGATCAAACGTTTTCTCAATATCGGAAGCTAAATCAAGTAGAGAAAATCAAGTTGAACATTCTAATTGCGCGCTCATTTCAATCTTTAAACACACATAAGTTCAAATATTATTAAAATTCCCTCGAAATTTCAAATATCAAAATCACTCTATCACATCTACTGTTATTACCTTTTATTACATTACATTTTATTACAAAAATTTATCGCAGTTACGTAATTAGTTAATCATAATTATAATAGATATGTCGTTTATGATTCTTATCTTTAGCTAGCGCTATTGGACTAAAATGAACGTCGTGATATCCTTGACTATCTACGTGGAACCACTCATAATATTAACCCATAATGATCTTGATGAGTTTTGAAACTTTTTTTCATCGCAGTATGTTCGTTGGGAATTTCAGTTGCTTGTTTTAGTTGGGTTTATTTGTCCTTGTGAGTATGTAATTTCTGGTTTTTACTTTTGAAATCGCGTTTGAAAAAATCAGGATTAAATGACGTTGGAATTATCTCCTGATGAATATTGCAATAATAAAATGAGCTGTAATTAATTATATGCTCTAATGAGATGCTTCAATGAGTTGTGGCATCTTATGTAGGGGTACAATGGGAAATTCGGGTTAATAGAAGGGATGAAAAAAATGGAGGAGATGGAGACATTGGAAGACATCTGATTTGTCCGGGAAAAACTGAGAACGGGGATCAGGAAGTCTCAACGATTTCAATCGTCTCACCGGAAATCGTCTCCTCATTTAGTTTCTCATTCCCGCGGAAATTTCCCCAGTGGTGAATGAACAGTTACTTGAATGTTAAAGTAAACGGTTTGGAGTGAGGGTGAGTCTCTGGTACGTGCCTTTATCCACAACTCGCGGGCGCAAATTCCTGAAACGGAACGACATCCCTGCCGGGCGCATAACTAAACTAATTTCCCGATCTCTGAAGCCAGCGTTCAACCGGGGAATCGCTCCAGGCGAGTGTTGCTCTTTCCAATGATTTCCCGGCGTCTCGTGATGTGGCCTTTTGCCATTCAGAACTGGTGAATTATCTGTGGAATTGTTTGGAATCGATTGGGATTTACCTGGGAGTCCTCCTCGGTGAAGATCGCGTCGAATGCGAACATCTTCGGTGCTGCCACCGTTGGTCGCCGATCTTCTGCCGTTGACGATTGACCCGCCGTCGGGTCCACCAGGGTCACCTGTTTTTTTCGCTTATCCGCGTTGAAAAAACTACCCCCTTCACCTGATGACACTCGCAGCATCACTTTTACCTGAAAAAAAAAAATAAAATATTAGGGGAGAATAACTTGAATTGAAAGTGAAACAATTTCAAAAAAATGATTGCATTAGTTATTGAGACTTTGAGACTCAAATTGGAAATACGCTAACATGAATTGTAACTATAAATCATAGATTGAAACATCAACGATTTATATTAATATTGGAATACTAATATACACATCAGTAAAGAGCAATGAATGGAATAACTAAATAACCCCCACGAAAATGAATATTAAATTTCCAATCAATAAAAAATTAAATAGAAATAAACATAGTTTATAAATCGGAAATGTTAACATGTAAAATTGCTAGTACTAAAAGTGTTGTTAATTAACAAATTGTTATTACTGAGTATCTTAAGTTAATCTATGTCGCACAATGAAGATTACCTCAATGCCAAATAAATTTAAAACAGAAAAACAAATAGTAGAAAAAGAATATTAGTTGCTGACCTCTGTCATGAATTCTATTTTCATCGAAAAAGTTGAACTAAAATTAATAAAATCATTGGAATTTCTTTCAAAAAATTCCAATCCAGCCAGGGCAATTAATTTCAGCCACAGGAACTAAAGATAATTAATTATCTATTGGCTATACGTTTGGAAAAGCCTCTCATTCGAAAATTGAACAATGGACTCGTTAGAATAGACTGACTGGCAGTTTCTGACATTAATTAACAGCCGCAGGAACCGCTGGAATTTGTTTTACACCAGAGAGTTAACGAACTATCGACGGTGTGAACCAGATGATCTCATTTTCCCCTCCTCTGCGTACATTTTCTCGAGTAATATCCTCTGAAATTATTTTCACTCCCTCAATGTACAAAAAATCATTGCTAAAGCAAAAAAAAAATCACTTCTTTCTCTCCGTTTCGTGAGGTTACGTCCGTCTTTGGGATATTTTTTCTGCCGCATGAGCCCATAAACGCTAGAAATCGAGTGTACGCCGAAAGGAAATTGGGTTTTCGCGAGTTGAAATGAGATTTCCCTGGGTGTTGCATATATTCCATATTGAAAAGATGTCAACAACTGCATTCCTTGACGAAAAGGCAAACATCGGAAATACACACGCGCCACTCCCTTATCTCTCTGAAATCCTATCAATTTCCCTCACTTCCGTCTGTCAGACACCGAAGAAATCTCCATTTTCTTTATTAAACCCAGTGAGTCCTCCCTGAACCCAATGAAAAACCTTATCCCCGTGTAATTACAGTGATAGCTCGTAAACTTGATTTAATTTGATATGAAAAGTCATAAACTCCCATATTTCCTAGTGACATAAAACCAGAACTTGGAGTTATTGGAATTCTTTACAGCCACGAGGACGCGTAAAATTTTAACGGGTCCTCCAGGATATGGTCGACTCCAAATGGCGATATAAATGATACGTAATAGTACTCAATCCAATATGAAATTTTTTTAACGCCGGGCAGCATCACTAAGTAGCAGAGGATGTGTCTGTACCGTTCGCCTCCTAAAAAATTCCATTTTGTATTCTAGTCTGAGGGTAAAACTATATTTTTAAGACTTCTTTGATGATTAAACTGGTTATTTTCCTTGTATAAACGACTAATTCACCCGCGAATCCATAAAATAAATGAAGAACTAACGAGAAACGACATACAACATAATTCCGAGTTTCAAACTATCAAAAACATCAATTACTAGTCAGACAATTTTCTACGGTAAAGACTTGGCACTTCGGTTATGTATTTTTTTCCGTACGAAGGGTTGAATAATGTGAAATTCTTCCGGCGATGCTGTCATCAAATTCTTGATGATCGACAGTACAAAAAAATTGACGCCGATGGTTGGCGGGAAAATGGTGAACAGTATTGACTGCTGTAGACACACCCGAAGAGTTTGAGGATAAATCTACTTTTATTTCTCACCGGCATCTTCATCACGTTCGTGACGAGTTTTTCAACAAAATGTCATAGCTTTTTTCTGTGGAAATAAAGTAAATACAAAGTTGAGGGTGGGGAGGGAATTAAGTCGGTAGAAAGTTGGCACAATGGCTACCTGGGGCAATGAAACTGTGAGCAAGGTTTAACGGTGTTGCAGGGAAAGGGCCATTCGGAGACGAAAGTTTGATGATTCTGGGGGTAGATCTGCCCCTGCTCGACTCAACATCGGCTCAACCCCAACACCACCCCAAACCCACCCGGAATTGAATTCTCAGGTAGTTTCCTCGTACCTTTGGAGTAGAATATCGCTCAAAGAGTTGAGGATATTCGATAATCAGGGGGGATTTGATTGTATCCGGGGTTATAGACTATAAAAATGATGTCTTAAATTATGACCCTATTGCCCCCTTCTTAAAACTCAAAAAGTTTAAGGCTCAAACGCTTTAGGACCTCCAAAGGAGGATATAACTGTCCGACTGACGTCTTTATATCCTATAATTTCCCACGTTTTTTTTCTGGGTGATAGATCTCTTATTTTTGATTATTATTATAATTCTTTATGGGAGACTATTTACTGAGAAATTCGCGGGAATTAATACTGAATTAAATCAGGATGAAAGAAGTGAATTACAGAATTTAAGGGGATAAAAAGTGTACGTCAATGTATGATGTTGTAATTAGTTGCTGTTAGTATGAAATGGTTTATCTGTCGTATCCACGAGTTTTATTCATCAATTCCCGATTTTCTCTTTTTTGTCCACAATATGTGACACCGATAAGCTGTCAATAAAACCCACACATTCCGGCTCAATGCAGATTTTTGTCTGGTTGTCTATCGGCGTGTGGGGGAGCATGGGGTGTTTGATAACAGGGTAGAATAAAAATATTTGCCAGTATGGATTAACCGTTTTACCGTTGGCTAATAAAAATATAGCGGCTGAAAAATCAACGGGATCAATCGAACCACCAAAATAGCCTTATTTAAACATTTTTTGGTGTAAACACGAGTTTGAAAAATTTCTTCAAAAAAGACTTATCAGTTCAAATGTAATAAAAAAATAATAAACAAGAGGATAATTGCTGTTTGATTATATATTATATAGTTATTTCCGCTAATAAATAAGGTATACAAGTGGTCATTCTAAAAATTATATCAACATAGGACAAAGATGAATAATTATTAATCGGCCCTTCATGGCTACCATTGAATTTTTTTTATATCCTCTCATTTATTACAAATTTATTAACGCGAGTTTTTTCGCGTAAAAAATCGATATATAGGTTATATTCAATGTCGAAAGAATGGCAACCATTATTACTACCAGTGCGTGAACGCAAAGCTGAAGAGAAAATTCTTTGAAAGTACAAAAAAAATACTGCATACAATCACTTCAATTTCTCATTTTTGCATTTTCTCATTTTTTCCCCTGGGATCCTCTATAGCTATGCTAATTATCTTCTGGTTCGAATATTATAGTATCGAAACTATCATTTCAGGTTACGATGAAAGCCAATGGAATTTTTGTCAAGCTAATAATAAATAATAAAAATTGTTTTCTTAGACTTCTTGAGTCATATTGGAGTGAGATAACATAAAAAATAAGAAATCTCTATTTAATCGATTGTAATACTTCCATTCGGAAGGAAAAATTACAGTTCAGAAGTAAAGCTTTTATTTAAGAGTTCGAACTGTCGCAAAATGAAGAGAATTTTTTTTTGATGAAGATTGTCCCGAGGAAAATCAGACATCAAAGGATTTTTCGACTGGTTCCTAACATTTTCTAAAATTCCGATTCATCCCCTTATTTAATTCTCCCTCAATTTTTTCCCCTCCACTCACAATGTAAATCGCTCGGGGATATAAACTTTGAGGTGGAATTCGGGGGAATCTCATCTCCACGGCAGCGTAAAACGAGAGTGGAGGAGAAATACTCTCGGAGATTATCGCGATTGCAGACAGTCTAAATAATCTTTGGTAGGTTACAACGGTGCATGAAAATTCGGGTGAAGCCCTCGAGGAGTGACGTTTTGAGGGGGTGTACAACCCCTTCGTTAAAGCGGTAATAACAGCATCATTGAACTGCCCGGGGCTATCGGTGGATTTTGCGTAAGACTCTTGTATGCGTACCACCGCAATCCCCCAGTTTTATGACTCCATATCGAGTTGCGTATCTGAGTGTCACAGCCTCTGGGCCATCAAGATCGTCTCCGAGAATTTATGATGAGCAACGCCTCCGGTGAATCGAGTCAGTGGGAATTTTCCTACCGTAAAATGCCTCGCGATTGGATGACAAGACTCATGTCATTTTACCTTCATTAGAGATTTTAATATTTTTATTTTAACATTTTTTTCATTGTTCAAAAGACTCTATCTCATTAGAAATTACTCACTAAAAACGTAATTGAGCATCTAGCGAAATCCAATCCTAATTTATCGATGAATATCTCCGGATCTACGTGAGATAATTAAATTTTTATAATGACTTTTTTGTAGGTCTTAATTAGACCTGGAAAAAAGATATTTACAAACATTTCGATAGGAGTCCTGAGTTACGAGATATTCCGTGAAAACTGACCCAGAGTAATCACTATAATCAGAGTAATCACAGAATAATCAGAAAAATCACTTTGAACCGATTACCGGTTTCGCTCTCGAATTAATAAATCTGATAATGGGAGTGTTAAATAAATAAATTGAGGATAACGTAAATAAAGTACCCTGCAGTGACACGACCAATTCTTTCAATAAATAAGTCCCTGAGACTGATCTGGGCACCTGTTATGTCAGTGGCTCTTAAATCAGGGATTGTTGTGAGCTTTTTCATGATTTTTTTTTATCCCACCCAGGGGTGACTGTCGAGGCTGAAAATTAATGGCCTTCATACTTCACCTCTTCCAGGACTCGTTCCGGTCTTACGCCCTAAGAGTCGTAATCCGAGTGTTAAAGCGTTAAGACATTAAACGATCCAAGGAACTATCAAAATCTTAACTGGAGTTTTCGTCAGAGTTTCGTTTAATTTTATATCAATATAACCAATCAAAAAAACACCAATCGTCAATTATTTCTATCGAATTATTTCACGC